GAGGGCTGTTTGGTGCCCGTGCAGTAATTAGGGGTATCCCGCCTTGTGACATGGCAGCGTAATAAGAAAACAAGCTTTAATTCTTTAAATAAAGGAGTTAATTTGGAAATAGTCTTAAATACAGCTCTGAACCAGATAAAAGTTATTTTGGTAAATCCTCTGAATGCCGTAGAGGTTTTTATTTACAGCGTAGGAAAACTAGGGGGGAAACCGATTTTCTTGTTTCTCGCTCACCTCCCTGTGACTAATTACTCTTTGCTTAAAAAAAATTAAAAGGAGCAGATTAAATTTCTGTCTGCAAGGCACAAATTAATCCATTTACAGAATTAGTGCTCCATTAGCACACAGGAGCCCGCATCTGTCTCAGAGGGGATGGTTGTATTTGAGTTCTGGATTCATTCCAGTAGACTTTTAGACAGGCTGGTGCTGACTTAACATCCCTGCTTCCTTGTGCTGAGGACAAGCTGCTGGGGTTTTTGGGAGGTGGGAAGACGTTGATCCGCCTCTTATTTTAGGATGGCATTAGAATGGAATCAGTAGGAGCTTGTGCTCTGTCGTTGTCTCAGTTGTTTGCCTTCAGAAAGTGAGGAAGATCCCAAATCGGGATCATCTCCTGCCTCTTGGCACTTGCCTCTCCCTGGTACCTTTGTGTCTTTGTAGGTCTCTTCTACAATTCCTTCTCATTTAATGGACCCTTTGCAGTACAAATGTAGAAGAAAGAGAGGCAATTCTGGGTTTATTGGAAGGAAGGTATAAATTATATTACAGATTGATTAAAAAAAAATCATCTCTCTATCTGTTTTTTTCTGATTTTCCCCACCTTTTCTTGAGAGCACCAGAGGTCTTGCCTGTTGTGTCTGCAGTCAGTCAGTCCTGATGACACCTCTGTCCGTCCAGACAGAGCAGGATCTGCTGGTTGGAAGTGAGTCAGCTCCAATTTGGAAGCAGCATATCCATGGTGGTGCCGTGCCTGAGCTCATGAGCCTGGAGCTTAACAATCCTTGCCCAATGGCTCCTCTGATTTGTTTGGGCAGCTCCGGGATGGCTCCTGGATCCGGGTGGATTCACATCTGGCCAGCTCGGAGCCTTGTCTGCGTGTTCCCTTTGTGTTTTGCCTTTGGTGTCCCCTCTGGAAATGGATGGGATTTAAATCACAGCAGGGCAAACAATCTCCTTGCAGAGGCACAGCGGGGAGTGGAGCCAGCGATCCTCGTGCAGGGGGGAAAGGAAGGGAAAGGGAGCTGTTTGGGCAGGAAAATTGTCCTGGTTTAAGTAACTTTAGAGCTAGTGTGAGGCTCCAGTCTGCATAAATCAGTGTTTTGTTGCTAAAAAGACCTCATGGGAACCTTGCCCGTTTTTGTGTTGTGTAAACACCGACTTGCTGTAGAATATCTTTTGCATTAAAAACCTCCCCACAACCACATTGTACTGCGATTTCCCTGAGTAACTCTGCTTTAAATAAACCCAGGATTGCCTTTTTTTTTTTTTTTCTACTTTGGTCCTGAAAAAGGTCCAGGTTTAAAGGCGAGGGTGTAGTTCTAGAAGAGACCTACCAAAACAAATAAAGGTATCAGAGACAGGGAAGTGCCAAGAGGCAGGAGAGGATCCTGATTCGGGATCTTCCTGACTTTCTGAAGGCAGACAATGGAGAGTGGTTTTAACTGAGCAGCTGGTTTTGTGCCTGGGGATGGATGGAGAGTGATGAGGTGTTCAGGAGCACCTGGGGAGGGACAGAAGACAGGAGAGAACACTGGAGAGCAAAAAGGGTGACACAGAAATGATCAGAATGGGCTGGTTCTATTTTATTTCACTGTATAAAAATTTGGAATATCCAGGCAGTGTGAGAGAGAAGACAGATTTTGTTGTGATAACTGCAGGAAGAATATGTAATAATTATGCAGTTAAACAAAACACATCTAGGAAAAAAATCCATGTGCTGCATTTAGCTGTTAGTGTAAATTGATGGATTTGGTTCTAAATTTGTGGTTGAGATACTCGATCAGTTAAAAGCAGGAACATTTCATATTAAAAAGACATTAATATGTCACTAATGAAAGAAACTGTAACATCACCTCCCATTCAGTTTTACATCAAAATAATTGTTCATTTTCCCATCCTCTGTGTTTGAATTCCTGTAAGTGAAATTAATAATGGGAAGGGGTCTTCAAAATGCTTATTTATTGGGTCTGTTTGGCACTGGAACATTAGATAAAATGTTTTCCTAGAGCTTGTGCTTTGCCTTTCAGACTTCAGATCAGCCTTACAGTTCTTCTCAACTTGCTTTTTAACTCCACTTAACCACCTAATATTCTTTACCTGCCTCAGAACAAAGAGTAGCTGGGTACCTGGTTGTTCTGATGTTCCATTAAAGGGAGGAAAGGCAGAAAAACTCCTTTTTTATGGAGCTGTGGTGGCACTGAGGGCATGACATCCTCTCTCCGTACTGTGGTAACTTCTCCTGCTCTCAAGCTGTGCATTAAAGAAAATTATTTTCTCTTTTTCCTTTCCAGAATGAAATCAATGAGGTTCCTTTCTTTGATGTGCAGCTGCCCTATGAGCTGGCACTGAAGATATTCCAGTACCTGGGCAGGGCTGAGTTGGGAAGGTGTGCTCAGGTAAGTGCTGCTGGCACTTGGATTCTCTGCCACCACCTAAAATGGGCAGAAATAATCAAGAAACAGCCACCTTGATGCAGGGAAGGTGGGTGGCAGCCCCAGTTACTTATAGGAAACACTTCCAAAGCTGAGTATTGAGAAATAATCCATGAGCTGGGTTTATGGCTGCAGTTGAGTAGAGTTAAATAAAACATTTGTGGCTGGGCCAGAAGCAAAGCCTTAAAATTTAAAATGAATATTGCAGAGATATTTTGATTCAAGTGAGTGTGTTCAGAAGCAAGTGAGTGTCTTGCTGCAATATTTAGAACTTGGCAGTGCTGAGGGCATGGCAAGAGCTGTTCCTCACACTTCTGTGTGTGCCTGGAAATTGGAATAGTAACTTTTTGTCTGTAGTGTTTTCATGTGAGGCTAAATTCTTAAGTGACTCTGATTTCCTCACCCCCAGCCCGACAGGGGGTTTATATTTTGATTTAGTGATACTTTCAGATGATGCATTCACCAGTTTATGTTTATAAACTGCCTGTCTTTTCAAGTAGCTTTATGAGACACTCACACCTCACTCTATGTGGGGTTGTTCAGCCTCTTTATTTCCTTTCTTCACACACTGAATGATGAACCTCCTCTCTGGATGAGCCAACAAAGCAAACTTAATTGGGAAGTGCTGATTACCCAGTGAAATGAAGTAGAATATTGTGGGTACTCACTGCCAGCTTCTCCCGTGGCCACTATTCAGGGTTCCAGGCTGGTGCTCATTAATTTATGTACAAAGCACATCTTGCAGCTTCACAAAAATCCAACCCAGACCATTCTTTGTGTTACAAACAGTCCAGAGAAGGAAATGTTAGTGTGTAAAGGCAGGATTGACAGACAGGGTCGGTTGTGGGTGGTAAAACAGGCACAAATATTCCCCAAATGGCCCAGGCATTGAAAGGAAATTGGGCTTGTCGTGTTCACTGTGAGCACATCATAGTGTTAAACAGCTACAGGTGGTTATTGCTTAAAACTTTGACTTTCTAATGCCTTTTAGCAACAAGGGCTGTTAAAAGAAAATTAAATCCTCGTGCAGGGCTGCTGTTGCAGAGGAGAGAATTCCTGAGGATTATTTTTTTGAGGGTGTCCAGGAGACCGAAGCTTTCAGATACGCTCAAGTTTCTGTCATTTGAGGTAGAGATAAACCATCAGTGAAGGCCACATCCCATGAAATGGAACAGGCTTGCATTTCTGAAGTGGATTAGTTTAAGGTTATTCCTCCCCTCTCTTTTCTTTTTGCCCCTTGGGCACGATCACTTTACCTCATGGCACGGGAAAAAGGTTGGCTGAGGAAGGGGCTGCTCCTTTCCCTGTGCTTGGGGCTGCTCTTGATTTCTCTTTCTCTCTCTCACTTTGGTTTTTTTATCTCAAACCTGTTCTCTTAAGATGTGTTTTAACACATTTTTTTCCACATTTTAACGTGTAATTTTCCACATTTCTCCTTCTCAGCCCAAATCATTGTTCCTGTGTGGCAGCTGAGCAAGTGCCCAGGGTTTTACAGGGCTTTCCCAGGGAGATGGATATCCAGGGCAGAGCTGGCTTCTTTTTAAACGTTCAAATGAAAAGCAAAGCCATAAAAATAAATCCCATTTTCATTTTTCTCTTGGTGGTTTTGATTTTGAAGGGGGGGGGGAAGCCCTCTTCTGCTCCATGGAAAACCCTGCTGCTTTACAGCGTTATCCTAGAAAGGTTGCTTTTTATTAAGGTGCCTTGGGATTTTAGGGAAATCGGGCCAGTGAGTGGAATTGGCATCAGGATCCATGTGAGAGCCTTTGGAGAAAACCTGTTTGCTTAGTTCTTGATGCCAAATTGGTAACCAACTAACAGGAAAGTAGCCTGACTTCAAAGGCTCTTTGAGATTTAATCACACCACGGGCTGCCTGCAGAACTTTAACTTCACCCTGATATTTCCCTCTCCCTCACTTCCCCACAGCTTTGCTTTGATTTTTTTTTTGGGGGGGGGATTAGTACCATAAAACACTAAATACCTGTGTGGCACTTGAAAATCCAAGATCCTTGTGCAGCCCTTAAATTGTGGTGCCCTCAGCTCCTGAGCTCTGGTGGGTGACATTCAGCAGCATCCAGCAGATACCTGTTGGTGTCCCAAGTTTGGAATCCAAGGAGAAAGGTATCCAGGGCTTAAAGTGTCCCCAGAACAGGCAAAATTTCCCCTTTGCTCTGTGCCAACCCTGTGAGCACCTTTTGATTGTGTTCTGCCCAGAAATATCTGTGCCAGGAGCGACTCTCAGGAGTAGGAGCAGGCTTGGGAACAGTCACTTCTTCCTCATGGTTGTGATGTAGAGGAGAAAAAAACCCTAATCCCTTGGGACACCACAATTGTGTCAAACTGAAATGCACCACAGGTTCTTGTGTTATTTGGGGCTGAAACTGCAGAAATAATTAACTTTACTCCTGGCCTGAGGACCTGCTCTTCATGCTGTAAAACAAGAGGATGTGTCTCACCTGTGAACTTCTCCATGTACTTACAGTTGTTGATTTTTAGTAAATACCAGAGACTGGAATTGCATTTTGTGGTGTGAAATGCTCCTGGGCAGTAGTGCTGAATTTTGGCAATGCTGAGGCAGTTTAGTTTCTGAACAGATCAGTGGGAAATTCCCTTGACCTGTTGTTATGTTTTCATCTTGGGGAAGGTTTGGAAGTGTTTACCAACACAGCTGTTTATGTATCTAGGGCAAGGGAGGCTGTTTCTAGGAATTTAGGAAGAATTGTCGTGCATGAATCAAGGATTTCAGCTGCTTGAGGGCTTCTGGAACTGTCAAACTGTTATGCTTTTGGTGTTTATACAATTAAAGAAGAAAATCTCGTGTGTATTTTGAAAGGATGGAGAGCAGCCCTGGGGAGGAGGATTTTTGGGGGGCTGGTGGGTGAGGGGCTGGACCTGCCCCAGCACCCAGAACCCCCC